TTAGGGTTTAGGATTTAGGGTTTGTGCAGTTCGTGGAAAGGCTGGGAGGGTTACGACTTTAGCACACAAGCTTATCTAGCTTGCCAACCATATTACTTGGGATTCTTGTTATGTATACTTAGAACTATATGTACATGTGTATACATATATATATATATATATAATATACATACATGTACATATGCGTTCATACATACATATTCATATATATATATATATACATATCACCATATGGCATTGCGTATATGTACATATAATGTGTGCATATCTGTATAATATATATATATATATACCTATATCTATATTTTTCTATATCTATATCTACACACATACATACATACATACATACATACATACATACATACATACATACATGCGTACACGCCAGACTATAGTACCCCCACCCCGCTGAACAAAAAACTCATTCTGCTTACGCCGGCAGGGAATACTTAAGGCGCCTTTACTGAGCCCTCGTAGTAACCCCCAAAGGAACCTTGTTTTACGCATTAAGGCCCCCATAAGGAGGTGTGGCAGAAGCCCTAAACCCTAAACCCCAAAGTTCCACCACTCCAGCCTCCCCCAGCAATCAAAAGAAGAAGCCACTAAGGGCCGTGCTGGGGCCGCTCGGCGTTCGAACTGGTGATGATTATGTTCTGGTACTCTTAGAGTTTAAGGTTTAGGCTTTAGGCTTTAGGCTTTAGGCTTTAGGCTTTAGGGTTTAGGGTTTAGGGTTTAGGGTTTAGGGTTTAGGGTTTAGGGTTTAGGATTTAGGGTTTAGGGGTTAGGGTTATGGTATGCTACACTAGAACTTTTCTTCCAGTTTCGATGCTGCGTCGGAGGTGGAGTTCCTTTCTACGCGCCTAAGGCGTTTTGGGCTTGGGTTTAGGGTTTAGGGTTTAGGGTTTAGGGTTTAGGGTTTACGCCTTTGGGCTTGGGTGATTTCGGGCTTCCGGCTTTGGAGCCTGAGGGCTTTTCTGCCATTTTTCCGCGGTTGTCGGGCCCCGCCCTAAACCCTAAAATCAATAATCTTAGCTCTGAAGCCATAAAGCCCCAAGCTCTGAATCCTAAACCCTAAACCCTGAACCCTAAACCCTAAACCCTAAACCCAAAGATCTTCAAGGCTGAACTTTGGTCCCTCTGCACCCCTGGGCTTCCAAGTCGAACTTTCCACGCGGCTCTTGCGAGTTGGTTCTGCTGGTCTTTTTGTAGTACCTCTTCGCGGGTTTAGGGTTTAGGGTTAGGGT